CTTCACGGCACGCCTGGAAATTAGATTATCATAAACATGATTCTTTCCCCTTCCCATTTTGAAACTCTCAGCTATTTGTATGCTATGGAAATGAGGATAGAAAAGATTAGATGTGCTCTGTACTGCTCTTCTGTTTGCCGTTTGTGGGATAGATACTGATATTGAAGGAGAAACTAGAAATTAGACTTTCCCAAATGAAATTAATTTCAAAGGAGATGTGTAGCCTTATTGCTCCATTTTACAGTACTCCACATACCACTGTGGCTCCCTAATACTGGGATATTACTGGCCATCGTGTATGCTCTAGTTGATTTTCTGAGTCTCTTCAATAGTTAGTTGTATATTGTAATTGGATATTTTGACCATTGGCCTTGAGGCCGTGACCCAGTTTGAAGTCCCTGCTGTATTACGCAATATACAAGTATAAGCAGAGAGGAGGTCCGACTAACAAGACGCTGCTTCTGCTGTAAAAAAAAAAAATAAAAAAAAAATAAAAAAAAATTCACGTAAGATATTCGTTTAGAGCACCAAGTCAGAGAAGTCCCTATCATGCAGGCTTCATACTTTTTTTATGAGTAGCTGTTTGAGGCCATTGGAAGTTGTTCTGTCCATGTACCAGGATGAACAACAGATGCATGACCTGAAGTCATCTGATTTTTCACTTGTGTAAAACCACTGCTGAGGAGGGGACTGAGTGGTCTAGGTCTGCTGCCTAAGAAGAGCTACTAATGATGTAAAGGTGGAGCGAGGACAGATTGTTGACTGGAGGCTAACTTTGAAATCAGCATGTTTTTAGCACCATGACTTTGTACTTAATATAAAAAAATGTATGTTGTTTCCTATCTGTATATTGTGTTAGCACTGCAATGCCTGTGATTTTTGTCCAGCTTGCTCACTGTAAAGTCAGACGCCTACTTCTGAGGGTTGTGGTCCTGAGCACCTCCAGCAGCAATTGGATGGGCTGCTGGGAGTGCATGACAGCTTGCTCCTTGAAAATGTGGGTATAAATGTAGCTCCATAATAAAACTGGCACTATATGAATCTCTTAGTTGTTTTCTACTTTTGGAGGTACCATATAATGTCTTGGGATCATGTCATCTTATATTCCATTTACCAAACTTTGCCTTTGATAAGATTTTGCAGAATGTTTAGACTTTCCTTTTAGTTACTAATACGTTTCCATGTTTTTCTGCAGAAAAGAATTGGTATCAACCCTGTTTCTTATATACTAAAATTGCAAATCTTTTGTGCTAATGACAGAATTGTTGCTAACAAAAATACAAAAGTTTAGAGGGATATTTCTTTCCTTTTATTTTACATGACACCCTGGATTGCCAGATGTCCTGAAAAAATAGGAAGACTTATTCAGTTGTGTCTTTGGAGAAGTATGGGCTAAATCTCCTTCTGTTGTAGTGTTACATTGTTCCTTGTGAGGTTTTGAATGCTTTCGTATAGTCAAGGGGGGATAGCTGAGACACCTGAATTTTGTTTGTGGTCCAGCCCCGATGCTGTTTAAAGTCATTTGACTTGCCCTGAGCTGATCTCTTGCCTACTGTAACTTTATCTATAACCATCTATAGAGTAGCACTAATTTAAGGATAAAAAATAATAATAATAATTTGAGGTATTGTGGAGTATCGCTAAGAGTATAGAGCCTATACAGTAGAGCTGTACTAAAACATTTTAACACATCCTTAAAATGTGAAGCTGTCTGATGAACAGCTTGACTTCAAGATACTTGGATTGTCTTTAAAGCCAACTTCTGTTTGTTTCTGTGGTTGGAAGAGTGGGAGAGGAGAAGCAGAAAAGAGACAAGCTTTTAAAGATTTCAGTGGTAAGCCTCCAGAGCACAGGCTGGTTTAGAAGCAGACTGCTTGTAGCCTGAAACTAGGCTGCAGTGATATTTGTAGCTTCCTTGTTTCCAGTTTTCCTTGCTTTACCTTCAGACCGATTGTAAGGATGTGATTTATCATAACCTGTCTTCAGCTGTTTAAAACTGATATCCCTAGGCTAAGACAATCACTTGGTCTCCCTCTATAGTCATCAGAGGGAGATAGATTTGATTTTGACACCAGTGTTTGGATAAGATGAATTGCCTGTTGGAGAGATGTAGATGAATCCATTGGCTCTTGAGGAAAACTAGAGGATAATGATCTATAACTAAGTTGCTTGATTTTTAGGTGGCTGAAGTTAAGTGCAGTGAATCTCACCCAGAGCATCTTATTTGCTATCATTGATTCTTCTCATCTGAAGAACAGAGTACTTGGCAATGAGGAGCGACTCTAAATTATCTACTTTCCCCAGAATCCTGTCCTCTGTCCAATATGCTGCAGCTTTATTTTACCTAGAAGTACTTTTCTCCAGTTTAATCAACCTGTGGCTTGCAGTTGTCATTTCAGCTATCTTGAAAAAAGCCTAGATAATTATTGCAAATAGAAGGAGGGCAGTAGCCCTTTCTTGTTTTGTGTGACCAAAACAGATAGATTTGTTAAGTTTTTTTTTTTTCTCCCCACTTTTTGTATATTTAATGTTTGGGGAAAAAACCTGCATAGTCTTACTCTAGACTTTTATTAGCGTGACTGTGAACTCAAGTGAAATTCCCTTGGGATTATGCTGTGTTGTCATGTGAGTTTTGTGGTTTCGTTTGTACTTTGAGTATTTATGTTTTAAAAGGGAAAAGGTGAATGCGATGTATTGTGCTGTTTCATTTAACCAGTGACATGGAGCAACTTTCCCTGCTCACCTCACCAAACACAAATCATTTGGTTTGAGAACATGCTACAATGCTTGTTTTAAATTTAGTTAGAAGCAATTTGTAGCTGTATTAATACACATCATTCTAATGGTTTTTCATCCTGGGAAGGATCCTGGCACAGGCATAAAAACTGAATTTTCTCATGAAAGCTTGTAGGGCTGCTGGGGCTGTGTTGGGGGTTTTTATCAGCAATAAACTGTGAATAGAAGCAATGAAAAAGAAAACAAACAAACAAACAAAAGGGAGGTGGGTGGGGAATGTGGGGGAAGGAGAAAGAACTGAAATGAAATGGTGCCCTTTGTCCAGAGGCTAGCCGTTAGTTCCCTTTAATGAAGACCTTTCTTAACTCTGCAGATATTCCTTCTATTTAATTTTTTTTAATAGGTGCTTCATTATCTTCGATCTTCATTGACTTCAACTTTTGTGCCAGTGATTCACATAGCTGCTTGTTCCTTCCTGGCTGGTGTCACCACAGTCATTTTGCCCAGCCCTTCTCCAAGTTTTGTTAGTACGTTATTACCAAAGAAATGGACTCTGTGTGTTTTCTGCAAGTTCTTTTTTTCTCTGACAGAAACCTAGCATCTGGCTTTTTTAATGTAGAAGCCTTTCTCTAAATCTTCTACAGGCAGATGTGCTATAGTATACCTTTTATTTTCACAACAATAATTCTCTGTCTTTTAGATTTCCTGACTTCTGACTTGATAGTGATGAGAATCATTTGTTCTGTGAAGTGTCTTTAGTCTCAGTTTGTGATGTCTTTTTCCTGCTTGTTAATATTTACATAAATATTTTTACCTGGAAACTTAAAAAAAAAAAAAAAATTCCAATTAACCTCTTAGATGTTCTGATCTGTTGATATTTAAATGGGATATGTTGCACATTTACTTTTTGGTACTTTTCTGCAGCACGTGTATGTGCATTTGTGATATAGGTTGGGCTGCCAATATTGCACATGCGTAGTCATGAGAAAATCTGGTGCCTTCTAAGATAAGAATAACGGAACTGCTGTATTAGGTGAGATGTATCTAGCCTACTGTGGTGTTCTAGTGGCATTTTGTTGTGTTCCATTGCCTTAAAGATTGTAAAAGAAATTAAAGGTCATTGTTTAATTACATCTGACTTTAGTAATGTTTACACTTAATTACAGAAGAGAACTTTAATATACTAATATGTAAAGAAAACAGACGACAATGAAATGTTACTGGATTTGCAGGAGAGAAAGATGGTCTTTGCAATAATCTGTTTCTGAATTGTGAAAAGTAAAATTATTTTAGAATTATGATTGGGATTGGATTTTGTGAATTTTGGCACTTTTCTTCTCATTATTTGGACTCCAGAATGGTACTTCATGCTGTTAATACCTGCTGCTTTTCAAAAATAACAATGGCATCAGAAACATGATTATATTGCAGGATGGCTTTCTTTTTTATTACAGAAATTCACAGGCACAGTCTGTGACAGCCAAATAAAGAATAGAAAATAGGGAAGAAATATCTCTTGTAGTTCAGAATAAGAGAGTTTTTTGGTGGATTTTTTATTATGCCAGCCATTTATAGAACAAAATTTACATATTATGCTTCAAGAAAGAGTAATAATAATACATGGATCATGATTTGGGATATAAAAGAGTAGATGTTACAAAAATAAATAATAATGAGGGAAAATAAGGATAATAAAAGCAGTGAAATGATGTCAAAGCAAGCAGAAGAGGTAGGATGATTAAGAGTAAGGCAAGGTGTTGGAGACTTGTATTTAAAGGAAGAAGGTGAGATGTGAACTTGAAAGTAGGAATGCAGTGTAATTTGACTGCTCTGTGACTCTGTGTTCCCCAGTCCTACAGATCATGCTGTGAATGATTAAAGTCACTGGGCTTGGTTCGTGATAGTTTTGCTTACTAGGGGGAACTTGAAAGGCAGAGATTCCACATCATTTCAGGGAAGGTCTTTAAAATGCGGAGAGATTTCTGTGGGCTCTGTATAAATACTGAACCGTGTATTTACTAAGTGATTTTTGAATGTCTTTGTTATTTTAATCTCTCCTGTGTTGTTAACAATACGGAACAAGATAGAGAATAATTCATTCGGGTTTATTTACATTTTCAAGAGAACCAGAACATTTTTCCCCACCTCAGGAGAATTTCTTAGAACCTAATTAGATGACGACTTGACAAATCTGCTGCACAAAACTAACAAAAGCTGTTGTGTTTCTGTGGTCTTTATTCTATATTTTGTATCCTCTCTTTTAGGTGGCCAGTGCTTCTCTTGGGGATGGAACGAACATGGGATGTGTGGTGATGGCACAGAAGCAAATGTTCATGTCCCGAAGCCAGTCAAAGCTCTTGGTTATGCAAAAGAGATCTTAATTGGATGCGGGGCGGGACACTCCATGGCTCTTTGTCAAAGTCCATGTTAGACTCAGCACACCTGAAATCATAGCATCATGGATGTGGATGGACATCTTTGGATTGCGTAGCTCAGAAGTGCTACAAGAGGATTGCCCATGATTAACACAATCATGTGTTGGAAAGTGCAAAGTTGTTTTTTCTAAGACTAAAAGGAACTAGTATGCATCAAAAACTACAATATTTTAAAAATTATTTCACGGGTCCTTTTCACAGGAACTGACTTTTTTACCCAGAGATAGAATGACAAAAATTTTGTCTTGATGCAATGCCATGGAAGAAAGAATGACTTTTTCTTGGTTCTTCTGAGAAGTCTTTGAGGAAGAAACTGACTGCTTAATTGCTTGTCATTGGTGTCTAAATTCAGTCTGAGGAAATGGTCTGAGAAGGTGGAGACATAGGGCCTATTCTGGTCTTTTATTATTGTATCTTTATGTCATGATGAGCATGTGTTGTGCCTGCCAACTTCTACTGGAGTTGTGAGCTACCAGCATCTCAGAAAATCCAGTTTGCATCACAGAGAAATGCCAGTGAACATAAATAGATGCATACACACATTTTAAACAGAAGATTAAGATTTAAAAAAAAAAAAAAGCAGATGTAATTTAGAAGGCTGGCAAAAGGGGAGAACGAGGCCCTTCTGAACTAGCTATACCTTGATTAAACTGAAAGGAGCAATATTGCTGAGGAATTTTCTTCTGTGCCAGACATCAGGTTATTATAGATTTACAGGGATGCAGATCTGCATGAATAATCATTAACTTGCAAACCAAACCTGAAGTTTCTGAAGCTACTGCTTAGGGAAGAAAAAATTCTAAGAGCTCTTGGAAACAATAGAAAAGTTCTTGTCAAAGGGCATAAGTCACTTGTAGCTGTTGCGGACAGTTTGATCCGACATAGTTCCTGTGTTTCCAGCTGCCTTTGAATAGGAAGACATCAAAATCGAAACAGAAGGTTTTTACAAGTTCTCCAGTCTAAAAGGCAGACCAGAATGCTCCTGATAATTTCAGGTTAGTTCTAACATCTGTTTTGCAGCCCAGCTGAGTTACTGTTTAGAGCATGCCCACAGTACTTGTTCCAGGTGAGTGCTTGGCAGAGAATGTAGGCCTACCTGTTTTGGTCAGAGAAATGAAAACGTGTAAATTATCTTCACATATTATTAGCTGCCTGTGTTGAGCAGAATTTTGGAAGCTATTTATAAAACTGTTTTTTTACACAAATACAGTGGGTGCCATTAAACTGGATGTTTACCACCCACGATAGTTAGATTTGCTGTGGTATTTGATGTATTTCAAATTCTAAATATAGAGAATACTACTGTGTGGTAAATGCACCTTTTAATGAGACCTAAACAGTGGTTTAATTTTTAAAGCAGACTTGCCAGGGAAGAAGTCTTACAGAATTATGAAATACTCAGAGAAGGGCTCTTAGGAAATAGGACAGGAAGACTTTCTAATGATGTATCAACTTACACATGACGAGGGAGGAATTAAGGTGGTAATATGGGCTGTGAGGGTTTTTCCCCCACTTGGTTTTACAGCAGTTATAGTTCATGGCCTAATTTTCAAAGGCGTTTTCTTTTTCTATTCCATGGAGGAGAAACTTGAACTGACTATGAAGCTGATTATAACAAGTGTATTACTGAAAGAATCTGTAAGAATAATCAAATGGGTCCTCTGCAAAAAGTGCAGAATTAGACTTCTATTGTAAAGTGGGTTTTTTAATCCATGTGTTGGTTGTGGTTCTTCATGGCAATACGCTGTTCGAGGCTGTGACCTCTTGCACTTTTTACTTATCTAAGTTGCTATTTATTAACTCTCCTCGATGCCGTTTTCTTGATACTGCAGCCTCTCTGTTATACGCACTGAACAGTTCTCAGGCTTTTTTTGGTGGTTCTGTCTGAGGTTTCTACCTTTGTTTTCCTCCAAAATCTGTGTACCGAATAAACATGTTATCTTGTTTCAGTGATCATACCCTCTAAATAATTCTGTTCCTTGAATAATCACAGCTCATATGTGTGCCCTGTAACATAGGGGTTACTGTACTGAGCGTATTTTGACTGTGCATGCTGTTGCTCCAGTTCATTTCCGAGGAATCCAACAAATTATGTAACAAATAAATGCGACTTGGTTATTTGAAACTTTGTTCACTTTTTCACATCTGTAACACGAACACACTTTGGGAAACGCAAAGAACGATTTGGGGTGATAAGGAGGAAAGAAAGGAGTACTTTGGTTTGTTCCTGGTCCTGAACTTGTGTTTCATATCTGCATCTGATCTTCATCTTTGAAAGGGCGAGAACTGCATTTTCTCTCCTTTGTCTTGCCCATATCGATTGAAAACTTTGGGAAGTAATGACTTGTCTTGAGAGCCTGACGTACTAAATCGTTGGTCACTAGATGCTGTTGTAGTATGAAGAGTGAATAATAGTTCATTGTAGGATGGTACATGATTGAATGTCAAAAACAAGTTGTTGCTCATTCATTCAGAAATGAATGCGCTGGTTTGTATGTCATTATGCTTTGTTTGCAGAATAAAACATTGTACAAAATCAGCTAAGGCTTTCTACTGTAAGGAAGGGCGACACAGTGAAAAGCTCCTAATCAAGTGAAGAAACCCCCTTCCTTGCTGGTGTCCAGAGCTTAGTGGCTGTCGCCTGTTGATGTCCTGATGGAGAAGGTCAGTCTCTGCAAGGCAAAATGCAGAGCCAGCATGCTATGTCGATGCTTCTGCAGTGCACGCAAAGACAGACGTTTTTATGCAGGTCTTCAGTGCTAAACAAAGAAAGCGTTTTATGTAAGCATTCTGCGTTCACATTCAGATGCAGATAAACTGACAAGATTTGTTTTATATATATAAAAGCCACTGGAACAAGGTAAGCAAGTGTCTGTGCAGCTGCTCTTCCCTCCCATTTTCTGAAAATAAGGAAACGTGCCAATGAGCTGACATTCATGAGGGGGAAAAGGTGAACTTAATATCACAGCTTTGGTGGAGAACAAGTTGTGAACTGTTGACCTTCAGTCCAGAGAGCTGTCAGGCTCTTGGGTGGAGGGGGAGAAAGAAGCTGTTGTGTGTACTTCTGTTGTTTCAAGTCCTAGGAGATCTGCAGTTGTGATTCATGCAACCTCCATGTGCACCTGTGCAAGACACTCCTGTTCCTTTTTAAAGAATGTTGGTAGGAAGATGTGTGTTTTGTGTCAGAAGTTTCTGTCTCTTGGAGGATTTGTTTAGGCCACTTGGCAGTCACTGATGTTATTTGACTTCGTGTAGCATTCCAGAGTGACTTGATGCTTTTCTGCTTAGAATGCTGGGCCCTGTATTTGAAGTGTGTTCATTTGACAGAAAAATTCAGTCCTGCCTTTCTTCCCGTTTGCCCAGTCACCACTTCTTACATGACACTGGCTTCTCTCCTCTGTCTGCATGTTGTCAGTTCTGTTGGTGACTAACTAGTTCTTGCCATCTGCAACCTCCATAAAGGTCACTTCTGCATGAGTGATGGGAGGTTTTGCTCAGCTGCATGGCTGAGCACAGAGAAATAGAGGGAGAGGGGAAGAATGTGATTTGACTTTGCTTTATATGACTTTTTTGAGTAATAAGACTTAAAGATGAGGATGGAAAACACATGAAGGAGATCAGTTTGAATGTACAGGAGAAAGGTTACAGTGGAAAAACATTTATATGAATGACAGTAGAGAGCCTGACGTAGTCAGCTAAAACATAGCAGAAAAGGAGGGTGGAGGGGGAAGACATATTCAAGATACAGGTCCTGAAGACTGAATAATCACACAGGGACACCAGCATTCCAGCCTGCCGGTATGGTGGAAGTGAGATGAGGGACAAGCTATTCTATTTCTTGGATGTTCTCCCTCTCTCACTGTTTATTAATAATAATATTGACCTGCAATGAGTTTTCTTTCTTATTCATAGAATGTCTTGAAATTTCCAGTTCTTTTCAGTTGGAACAGCAACATCTGTCCTCACCTTCCAGTCTCAGAAGTCTTTAGATCAGGCATGTGACCTAGTCCAGCACTTAACCAAATACTTACTATTTTTTCCATTAAATTCCATGAACTCTGGATGTGATTTAAACAAGACTTAAGTAATTTTGGGACTTCCTCTTCCTTTTCCCCTGTATTAGAAATCAAGATGATGACAGATCTTTGTCACTGAAATTGCAATGTTATGTTTTCACCAAGAAGTCCCCTGTGTTCTCCTAGCAATTTTGACATTTTTATGGCATATGGCAAGTCTTGTGCTTTTTCTTTTAGCTAGATATTTTCTTAAAAAAGGCTCCAGAATTTTTTATCAGTGTTTGAGTCATGCTTGTGGTATTTACTACCAGCTTATAGTTCAGAGCAACTGAAAATTTTGTAAAGGGAAGAAGAAAATACTGAAGCAGAAAACATAAGTCTTGCTTCCGAAAGGCTGGGAATGGATGCAGTCTGTGGCAGAGAATCATCTTGTGTGGTTTTGATTGCACTTAAAAATGTGCACAGTAGAAAAGTGGTGCTTACACTGAATTTGCTGAAAACTCTAGCTGACACAAAAATAATTGGTCATTTGAACTTTTGATGGATCCATATCTTGATTTATGTGCAAAAAAAGAGGTAGTACATGCTTTGTTCTTTTCTTTTAGCTTTTGTGCTATTCTTAATTCCTGATAAATGTTGGTCATAGATGTTTTGCTCCATGTTAGAAAGAATGATTTAATAGCCTTGAATTAAAATGCTTTGGTTGTATGGAAATGGCCTTCTGTTGGACAACTGTCCCAAAAAATAACTGTAAAGGGAGGTGTTTACCATATGTGCCTTTGAAGTTAATATGGAGAAACTGCCTGTGTAAAGCCGTTGGTTTTTTGTAACCCATTTAGAGGTTGAAAGGACTGAAGTAAGGCACATTCTTTAGCTGTTTGTGCATTTCATTCAGATTCATCTGTCAGTTGTCTCTGCATTCACCTGTTTTTAATGCAAAGGCAGTTTTTACTTATCGGTGCCTCTGTAGAACATGAGAA